GCTTCTAGTGTCCATCACTACTACACATACCACTAGAGTCACCATAGGCACCCATCCATCAGTACTTATGGACGTACATGTAGGATTGCTTCTAGCGTCCATGTGACTACTACACATACCACTAGAGTCACCATAGGCACCCATCCACCAGTACTTATGGACGTACAGGTAGGATTGCTTCTAGTGTCCATCACTACTACACATACCACTGGAGTCACCATAGGCACCCATCCACCAGTATTTATGGACGTACAGGTAGGATTGCTTCTCGTGTTCATCACTACTACACACCACTAGAGTCACCATAGGCACCCATCCACTAGTATTTATGGACGTACAGGTAGGATTGCTTCTAGCGTCCATGTGACTACTGCACATACCACTGGAGTCACCATAGGCACCCATCCATCAGTACTTATGGACGTACATGTAGGATTGCTTCTAGCGTCCATCACTACTGCACATACCACTAGAGTCACCATAGGCACCCATCCACTAGTATTTATGGACGTACATGTAGGATTGCTTCTAGCGTCCATCACTACTGCACATACCACTAGAGTCACCATAGGCATCCATCCACCATTCTTGCCGGAAGTAGAGGGTGGGGTCGGATTGCTACTGGCCAATATATTTCATTCCATTTTATTTATTTCTTAAACTTTCTCCCTTTTTTAATGAGAATTGGACGTCCTGTATTTCACTAGAGCCGGATCTGGACTTGATGATTTGCCCTATTTCATAATGACCCCACATCAAAACAAACTATTGTTTTAACGCTAGGGATCATGGCCGCTGGAGGGGGATGGAATGACAACAACACATCTTAAATCACAATGAAATTTGGTTTATGAGCTGGTGAAGGCAAGAACAACTAAATCTTACGCTAAACATCTCGAAAGAAGAGCCTAAATTTCTATCATTTTAGCCGATGTAAACAAACCGTGACGTCATTATGAAATAGGGCAATAGTCTCCTGCGCAGCCGCTGTGAGGCGCTTCCGGCTCCCGTCATTTCTCCACTAGCACTTTATTGATCGTTACTAGAATTCCATTCTATAGTACAGTACAATTATTGTGAGACAGCAAAATGGACTCGTATTTAGCTCGTCTAAAGGATGATGTCCAGTGTTCTTTGTGTAATGATAGACTTACTGAACCTAAGATCTTGCCATGTTTCCATACATTTTGCAAGCCTTGTATTAAAAGACATGCCGAGCTGATCGATGAAGTGAACGTCTTCAAGTGTCCT